TTCATCCTTTCTTAATATTTGTAGTGATGCCAGTGGTCTCCTCAGTCTGTTTCATGATACCAGGCGATACTCAGCTCTAATTCAATCCTCAACAACTCGGCTGATATTGATCTTAGTCAGTAGAAAAATCCTGAAACTATTATTGTACCGTGTATATGATATTGTTACATCTTGCTATGGTAACAATATGTATTGAAACTAAAACTACCTGTACAGCACATTGGTTTTCAAGACTAACTGACAAAACAACCCTGAAAGTAGAAAGCAGGAAAAAAAAGACAAAAAATTCTTTTGTTCAACTCTTTTTCAGGTGAAATAAACACGATTTTATCACAGCTGTTGATAAGAAATGGTGGATAATATATACAAAAATCTTTATTTTAACAATAATCCAAATCAATGGGTATCAAATCAATACTGAAACTTGTTTTTCATTCATAAGAAGCAGTAGTAATCTTGAAGGTGAAAGTGTTTATGTTTCCTTCCTACCACCTACATTGAATGTGGTAAACAAACCTCTAGGATCTAACGGCTTTATTACTCTTTTATACAAACTCAAAAAGTGGCAATAATTAATTTGGATGATAAAAAGAAACTTACCTTCGTGTGTTTTGATATGAATTATATAAAGACTGATTGATAAAAGTTTGAAAGCTGAGTGACCTCAGCAAGCCTCCGAGTTAGTTTTAGACTTGTGTGGACTTGTATTGATATATTTGATGTCTAAAGTCACTGAGGTACGTGTGTGTGGTGTGTGTCGACTTGTATTGATATATTTGATGTCTAAAGTCACTGAGGTAAGTGTGTGTGGTGTGTGTTGACTTGTATTGATATGTTTGATGTCTAAAGTCACTGAGGTACGTGTGTGTGGTGTGGGCAGGATGTTCACCTGCTGGGGACTTCAGTGTAGGATAATCTCCAGGAACATGCTGACACTTGTAACACATTAGGGTCAGGTATTGCAGGTCGTCTTGTGTCCTGTTTGTTGTGGGAGTAGCCGTCAGTGTGATTCACCTTCTGTTCCAACAATACTACATTCACCATCTCTCCTCCTGAGGTGCCAACACTGTCGCGCGAATGACCTGAAGACATTGTGGTTTGGTAGGTCGTCTGACAATGTGGGATGACGTGTCCACTTCTGTATTGTTGCAATGTGTTGTTGCAATGTGTTGTTGCAATGTATTGTTGAATGTGTTGCTGCAATGTGTTGTTTAAATGTTGCAATGTGTTGTTGGAATGTTGCAATGTATTATTGCAATGTATTGTTGCAATGTTGCAATGTGTTGTTTCAATGTTGCAATGTGTTGTTGCAAAGTGTGTTTGCAATGTGTTGTTGCAGTGTTACAATGTATTGTTGCAATGTGTTGTTGCAAAGTGTGTTTGCAATGTGTTGGTGCAATGTGTTTGTGCAATGTATTGTTGCAATGCATTGTTGCAATTTGTTGTTGCAATGATGCAATGTATTGTTGCAATGTTGCAATGAATTGTTGCAATCTGTTGTTGACTTCTGGCTGGGCCATATTCGCTTACATATCAGCAGATGCCTATACACTAGCACCACTTGGTGCCCATCACAGCCATGTCACACCGATCACAGCCATATCACACTGATCACAGCCTTGTCACACCAATCACAGCCATGTCACACCAATCACAGCCATGTCACACCGATCACAGCCATATCACACCACAGCCATGTCACACCAATCACAGCCATGTCACACCGATCACAGCCATATCACACCAATCACAGCCATATCACACCCATCACAGCCAAGTCACACCCATCACAGCCAAGTCACACCCATCACAGCCATATCACACCAATCACAACCATATCACACTCATCACAGCTGATATCACACTGATCACAGCCATATCACACCAATTACAGCCATGTCACACCAATCACAGCCATATCATGCCAATCACAGCCATATCACGCCAATCACAGTCATATCACACTGATCACAGCCATATCACACCAATCACGGCCATGTCACACCGATCACAGCCATATCACACCAATCACAGTCATATCACACTGATCACAGCCATATCACACTAATTACAGCCACGTCAAACCAATCACAGCCATATCACACCAATCACAGTCATATCACACTGATCACAGCCATATCACACCAATCATGGCCATGTCACACCGATCACAGCCATATCACACCGATCGCAGCCTTGTCACACTCATCACAGCCAAGTCACATCAATCACAGCCATATCACACCGATCACAGCCACGTCACACCGATCACAGTCATATCACACCAATCATAGTCATATCACACCGATCACAACCATGTCACACTGATCAGAGCCATATCACACAGATCACAGCCATGTCACACAGATCACAGCCATGTCACACTGATCACAGCCATATCACACTCATCACAGCCATATCACACTCATCACAGCCAAGTCACACTCATCACAGCCAAGTCACACCGATCACAGTCATATCACACCGATCACAGCCATGTGACACTCATCACAGCCATATCACAAAGATCAAAATCATATCACACCGATTACAGTCATATCACACTGATCACAGCCATGTAACACCGATCACAGCCATATCACACCGATCACAGCCATATCACACCAATCTCAGCCATGTAACAACGATCACAGCCATATCACACCGATCACAGCCATATCACACTGATCACAGCCTTGTCACTCCACTCACAGCCATGTCACACCAATCACAGCCATGTCACACCCATCACAGCCAAGTCAAATCAATCACAGCCATATCACACCAATCACAGCCATATTATCACAGCCAAGTCACACCCATCACAGCCAAGTCACACCCATCACAGTCATATCACACCAATCATAGTCATATCACACCGATCGCAACCATGTCACACTGATCACAGCCATATCACACAGATCACAGCCATGTCACACAGATAACAGCCATGTCACACCAATCACATCCATATCACACTCATCACAGCCAAGTCACACCGATCACAGTCATATCACACCGATCACAGCCGTGTCACACTCATCACAGCCATATCAAAAAGATCAAAATCATATCACACCGATCACAGTCATATCACACCAATCTCAGCCATGTCACACCGATCACAGCCATATCACACCGATCACAGCCATATCACACCGATCACAGCCATGTCACACCGATCACAGTCATGTCACACCAAACACAGTCATATAACACCGATCACAGCCACATCACACCCATCACAGCCAAGTCACACCGACCACAGCCATGTCACACCAATCACAGCCAAATCACACCCATCACAGCCATATCACACCGATCACAGCCATATCACACCCATCACAGCCATATCACACCCATCACAGCTAAATCACACCCATCACAGCCATATCACACCGATCACAGCCATATCACACCCATCACAGCCATATCACACCCATCACAGCCATATCACACCGATCACAGCCATATCACACCCATCACAGCTAAATCACACCCATCACAGCCATATCACACCGATCACAGCCATATCACACCCATCACAGCCATATCACACCCATCACAGCTAAATCACACCCATCACAGCCATATCACAGCCATATCACACCCATCACAGCCATATCACACCCATCACAGCCATATCACACCCATCACAGCCATATCACTTTATGTACCATTGAAAGTTGATCACACTTCCCTACAATAACTTCAGCATATTGGGTACGCTGATGTGTTACCTGTACTGAATAGACTAATTTTTTATGACTTGAGTTTGTCACTGTATGTTCAGGTATTTGCATGTACATGTATATGTAAGTAGATATAGTCAGATTCCTCATCCCCTGTGTGGATGAATGTCAAGTTGCCGTCATTCTAATACTGATGGAAATGATGGTCCAAATTGATCCAGCATGTTTTGCTTATTGTAATTTGGGAGATTATTGTTACATTATGTTCCATAAACATCTTTGTGCTATTTTGTTGTACCCTCATCAGACGTATCTAGAACTGGAAGTATGTACATTGCCAGAAGCTGACTGGTTCCCGAGGGGAATCACTGGGCAGATTGATTCCCGGGAAGTATGACCATATGATAACAGCAGTGGATAACACTATTATATCCTGTAATGATGCTTGCTGTAATCGGGCTGAGCAGCGAGGCCGCCAGTGTAGACATGCAGCAGCAGAGCATCAACATGATCAAGAGCGAACCAATATTTTAGTGGAAAATAACACCCCGTTTATCTTGTCTCCTGTAATAGAACCTGACTGACTAGCCTGTATCCAGTCTGTATATATATCACAATCCTGGTGACTAGACTGTACCCAGTCTGCATATATCACAATGCAGGTGACTATAGACTGTACCCAGTCTGTATATATATATCACAATCCTGGTGACTAGCCTTTACCCAGTCTGTATATATATATCAATATACCTGTGACTAGACTGTACCAAGTCTATTTATGGCATTAATTTAAACTAGAGGGCAAACGAGATGTCCATTGTTGGTGATGATATGATTAAAGCACATTGGAGTACCCAGTCTCTACATTTTGATACCTATGACTAGACCATGTAGACTCTTCTCAGTCTTTATATCACACCCAACCCCCCCCCCCGGAGAACTGTACCCAGTTTATATGTCACATTTTCTTGTACCTTTTTAGGATTCTGGGTTAGAATTGGTCCCCCACAACCAATGCTGGTCTTGTTTGGCAGTGGTTGGTCAGGCTCGATGACTTGTTGATAACAAGTCACAGCATCAATCTCTGGATTGTCTGGTCCAGACTTGATCATTTACTGGCTGCCATTATTTAGAAGGAATATTGCTAAGTGCGGCATTAATCAACAAACATATTCCGTGTATCTAGACTGTCCCATATCTACCATAGATGATCCCTGTAACTAGACTGTGCTCAGTCTGTATATAACCTTAGATGATCCCAACTGCATGTCGAGTGATGGGAGGTAACAGTGTGCCTCTGTGTTGCAGGAGGAAGAAGAAACGATGGCTTGAAGGCAGCCGACATCGTACCCATCCTACGGGAGAGAGTGGCCTACCTGTCAGGTAAGTGATGTTCTCATACTTGCTACACCCCCATCCCGTTGCTTTCTGTCAAACAGTAGTGACGTCCAGCTGGCCTGTTAGAGAAGATTTGAGCTAGCTCACCTGACTAAAAGTCAAGTGAGCTTATGACCCCCTTTTCTCCTCAGAAACCACAGGTCCAATGCAGCTGAAACTCCACATGCTTGTTCTCACCAATGATGACACCTCATTTTGTTCCACAGGTTTGAAACAGGTTTTTTAACATGATCGCCACGACTTAGCCATAGTTAAACAACTATTTCTGGATATCATTCAGCCATATTTATTCAAAATTTGGTGTGTGTGTAGTTTGTAGTGGGGCTCTGTTTTTATGTGATATTTCAAATTTTGACCTTTGCACTTTGAAACATGCTGTTAAATTTTCTCAAAATGCATTGCCTTTAGTTGTAAACATCATCTCCTCAGAAAGCACGTGACCGAAGTAGCTGGAGTTTCACGTGCTTGCACCCACCAATCATGATACCTGAACTAGCACAAGAGGTTTGAATCTGATGGCAGTTTTATTGAAATTCCTCTTTGTGGCCTCTGCTCAAAATGTAATATTCTTAAATTCAAGCACAATGCATTTTTGGCTTTGTAATCACCTTCTCTGAACTTGACTTAGGAAGCTGAATTTTGGCATGTATGTTTTATGTTATGATGACAGCATACTTTGTTCAAAGCAATGCTGACAGCTACTTCAGTGAGAAAGATTTCTGTCTTTGGTAACATTTATACTCCTGACAACATATCGAGGTGAGCTACAGTGCCGTCGTACTATTTTTGTTATTGCTAAGGACTTACTAAGAGAACCTACAAATTTTGGTAAGGTAAGCTTCAAAGCGATGTTTTGAAAATCCAAATGAGAGACGTAATTGTAAGACCTGGTAGGCCAGAGCCCACTTGCACAAAGCGATCTTAGAGCTAAGATGATCTTAACTCCCATACTTTAACATAGGCTTACAATGGTCGTAGCGCTAAGATCTTTGTGCAAGTGGGCCCAGGTGAGCTCCAGTCCCAGAGTTTGTGTGTGGGGCCCCACACGGTGGCAGCACGTGCTGGGACAGGCTGTCGGGCTGCTGCATTGTTCCCATGTTAACCAAGTGGCAAATTGAAATGGGGTAAATACTTTCAGTTGTGTTACAGCCACACTCTCTTGTGGGCAAGTCAGGTGGAAGTCATTGAGAAGTCGTATTTTGTTTCCAGATAAGATTGTATCACCTGTTTTCAATTATATAACAAGTGTGTCACACTAGTGGCTGACTGAGTGTTTTCATCAAAGGACTGATACTGGACCCTGTGTCTCACACGGATATTGAACCCTGTGTCTCACACAGACAGTCACTGGACCCTGTGTCTCACACAGACAGATACTGGACCCTGTGTCTCACACAGACAGATACTGAACACTGTGTCTCACACAGACAGTCACTGGACCCTGTGTCTCACACAGACAGTCACTGGACCCTGACAGGATTGTCTGGTCCAGACTCAGTTGTTTACAGACCTCCATCATATAGCTGGAATATTGCTGAGTGCGGGGTTAAACAACAAATAAACAAAACACACAAAGATAATGGACCCTGTGTCTCACACAGACAGACACTGGACACTGTGTCTCACTCAGACAGACACTGGATCCTGTGTCTCACACAGACAGACATGGAACCCTGTGTCTCACTCAGACAGATACAGGACCCTGTGTCTCACACAGACAGACATGGAACCCTGTGTCTCACTCAGACAGATACAGGACCCTGTGTCTCACACAGACAGACATGGAACCCTGTGTCTCACTCAGACAGATACAGGACCCTGTGTCTCACACAGACAGACATGGAACCCTGTGTCTCACTCAGACAGACACTGGACACTGTGTCTCACACAGACAGATACTGGACCCTGTGTCTCACACAGACAGTCACTGGACCCTGTGTCTCACACAGATACAGGACCCTGTGTTTCAAAGACAGATACTGGACACTGTGTCTCACACAGACAGATACTGAACCCTGTGTCTCACACAGATACAGGACCCTGTGTTTCAAAGACAGAATCTCTCCTGATATCAAATGTGAATATTGTTCGCAAAAGATTTATATCCATGGCTTTGGCTAGTGTGTCAGATGAGAACTGCTGATCAAACTTTAGAATTGATGTTTGTTTCAACCATGGTAAAACCTGAAAAGGGATGTTCTCAACAATACCAAAGATTGAGAGAGATCCGAGGTCAAGGTCAGCAGATCTGGACATCATGCATGAGCAACCTTGTTTGTTTGTTTAACGCCTCACTCAGCAATATTCCCGTTATATGACAGCAGTCTGTAAATAATTGACTATGGACCAGACAATCCAGTGATTGACATGAGCATCAATCCACGCAGTTGGGATACAATCATGCAATGACATGCATCAACCAAGTCAGCGAGCCTGACCACCCGATCCCGTTCATCGCCTCTTACGACAAGCATAGTCGCCTGAGCAACCTTGTACTAGGGGTGAAACAATACAGCAAGGTCATGATATGATACGTATCACGATACATAGATCATGATATGACACCTATTGCGATATGCATAATTATATCCAATAGCTTGGAAACTTCTTTACTTGTAACATTTTGGAGCAGAACGGAAAAGGTAACTGTAGACACATGTTTGCTGTGGCTATTTTTTATTAGTGAACTTGAAACTCTAATTTTTCAATATTTGACTGATAAAATCACTGGGGGGTCATTAAAACGAGTAGGAAATAATGTATTTTAGCAAGTGCAAGAAACAAGTATTGTGTATAGTATCGTCACTTGAAAGCTCACGATGCACCGGTGCACATTTGTATCACTTCACCCCAACCTTGTACAACTGAATTAATCACTTCCAGGGTATTTGATTGGCTAACCAAGCATTTAGGACAGAATTAGGCCATAGCCACTAACTAACTACTGTTTGCTGATTGTCTGATAATAGAATGAATGGATGGGGTTTGTGTTTCATTATTGCGCTGAATGATGTCGGATTCCGTGTTATTGTGTGTTGTGTCCTTTTTTAAGGAAGAGAATTTATGGATGTCATCTTATAATAATAAAGAAGTTATCCATAAATTCTCTTCCTTATGTGTATCACTTCTAAGTGCCTTTCAAAGTCTTTTTTTGTTCGTGATTAAGAAGTCTGTGAAGTGATTATTGTTGACATATTTATTTATAAGAATTGACTTCATGCTGTTTTTGTGCTGTCAGTGGTACTCACTGTTCTTGACAAATCTTGACAAAGAAAATATATATACTACACACAGACATGTGTTAACAGTAATTCTCCATCATAGTTGCAGTTTATTAAAGGAAACAAGAAACAGAACGTTGAACTGTCTATCCCGTTTTGAAATTATGTGTAGTGGGAACCATAAGACTGTTTTTGTCAGGCCTGGAGACGTGTAACAGATACGGAATGTTTTTTTTTAAGTGAATGCCACAATGCCAAAGTTTGATACTGATGAATAGTGGATGTGTTTAACCAATGATTGAGTTTTGTATTTAGCAGTCCATGATTGACTTGGTTGCCCTGTTGCAGGTGGGCGGGACAAAAGAGGTGGCCCCATTCTGACGTTCCCCTCACACACTCACCCAGAGAGGTTGAAGTATGAGGATCTCCGGCGTCTCATGACGTATCTCGCCAGTGTACCTAGGTAAGATCTCCCATGTCTCATGTATCTCGCCAGTGTACCTAGGTAAGATCTCCCATGTCTCATGTATCTCGCCAGTGTACCTAGGTAAGATCTCCCACGTCTCATGTATCTCACCAGTGTACCTAGTTAAGATCTCCCATGTCTCATGTATCTCGCCAGTGTACCTAGGTAAGATCTCCCATGTCTCATGTATCTCGTCAGTGTACCTAGGTAAGATCTCCC